TATTTCGCCACTCTTCATTTGTTCTGGAAAATTCGATGTGCTCCGTCGGTGAATGCCATTGCACCATCTAATTGTGAAGTAGAGAATATCCCTTCAACGAGCGATCAAAATATGTACATTCAAGAGTTAAGTTAAAAGAGACATGTTGAATTGCAGATTGTATTGAACCTTACAACTGACCTTTTTTTAGAGACGATTTAATTCTTATTAAGCGATATTCAATTAATAAAGTTATTTAGCTCACTCGAGTAATCATTTTTTCCAACAACTGCTTTTATGAATTTCCAAGATTGTATGCAGAGTAATATTTATTTATAGATATTGAATTATTATGCGATATCCATCCATGCATGGAAATAATTGATGCTAATCAGCAACCAAAAGCACATTAATTTTCCACGCACCCAAATAAATTTAAAGTTTTTTGAAGTTTGTTTACGTTAACAACACAGTAAAAAAAAAAAATCTTCTCCCATGGATGTACTCATGAATGCATTTTTATTATAATGTTATTAAGTAATACAAATTATTGGAATTTATTGTTATATATAAAGCATATTTTTGATATAATAATTATTGTTAAGTCCTTACAATCATTCAAATGAACCGGCTAGAATATTCGTGACCTCGAGTTTGTCAAAATAAAATTGCAACTTGCCCATACATTTTTTATATGAACATGTTGCTCTTTTACTCTAATCAATTTCTTGAGCTCACGAATATTCTTACCGATTCAAATGAAAATTATACAAAAAAGTTGCAGCTCAATTGGGTACAAAAGACATGTGATACATTGAATTTGATCGAAATATTGATAAATTATTTAATTCAAGGGTAGAAAACTCACTGAAAATCAAACTTTGACATATCGAATATCGATAGATGCCATAATAAACATCTGCCGATAGAATGTTTGCGCGCCTTTTCACATTTGTTCGTGTTGTTCGGCGGTGTTCTTGACGCATATTGCGCGATCTACCTACAAGCCCGGCTAGCTCAGTCGGTAGAGCATGTGGCTCTTAACCACAGGGTCGTGGGTTCGAGCCCCACGTTGGGCGCTTTCTTTTTTTTATTTTCGCTTTTCGCCTTTCTCTTTCAAGGTTTCATCGTTTTTCATATTCGCATCGAAAAAATTGGATTTGACGCAAAAAAAAATATTTTACTGAAATTGCACGACTAAAATGATTGTTTTTTCTTTAATTCGGACTATATATTTGCAGAATTCTAGCTAGAGCATACCGGCAATGGGTGTTTGCATGCTTTGAATAGAGAATTTTGAGTTTTAAATACATAAAGAGCAGAGAGGTAAAGAAAAGTTTTTCTTCGAGTGATAGAAATTTACTTTGAAATAAACCACGTGCAAATCTATATTTTTATCATGATAAAGACCTCATTTAATTGATTACATAATGGAAATTATGATTCAAAAAACGATGGAAGACCATGAGTAAAGATATGTAACAATAACTTTACAATATGTTGATTTTTGAACAAAACCCGATACCGACTATCATTTTATAAGAAAAATAAAATTACAAAAGCGATATTCACACATATTCAACATATGTGCTCATGTGACGACGGAATCTATAAATAGATCTTCGGATGCCATCTGTGAATGTATAGTTAAAATATCGCATTTAATTTTTTCTCGGCGGAGCAATATTTTTTTTTACTCTCAACAGTTTTTGTCTAGAAATGTTTTGAACAAATGACTGTATGGAATGAAAATCGTCAAGAAAAATGAGATTTGCATACATAAAAAGTAGTTTTTAATTGCATTCATCATGCTGTTCTCGTTTCAATCGTAAATTTTGATTCGATGAAATCACTTCAAATTTAGAATCGATTAAAAAAAACCATAAAAATTACACGATGAATCAAACATTACACAATATCCTCCGTACTACATAGATTGGTATGTTCCATTTATTGAAGTGAATGATTTGTCGTATGTTTCCTCTTTCTCTGTCTCCCTCTCGATGAACTCGACAGAGGTCAATTGATTAATCGACATTACATTATGGGTAAATTAACGGCGCACCACAATCGGTTCAACAAATGACAGAGATACACAATCAGTGAGTAAAACGAGTAGTTTTTATTTTATTCATTTTTCAAATTGAAAAGAAATGGAAATATGAAGGGCAATGGTAGTTATCACATTCAAAATCGACCTGAACCAGCCGCTGATTGAAATAAGCTAGAACAAATGACGTGAAAATTTCACAGAAGAAAAGAACCAAAGAATCGCCGCAGAAGAATTTGTGCCGGAGAAGTAAAAGCATATATATTGTTCGTGTATTGCTAGATTGATCGTGTGAATGAAAAAACGTTGTATTTTTCATTTTGTTTCTTAAGAAGATAATATTATTTACAAAAGTCATTTAAACATCGTAAAGTAAATCGCCCAGTTATGATCTTTTGAGATTCATAATTAAGAAAAATGCAAAGCGATACATTACATGTATACATATGAAAAATCAAGTCAAACGATATTAAAGGGCACACGATGCATTTGAGCCAGTTTCTTTTATGCATTTGTTTTAAATAAATTTATTGCATTGTTGAATTGAATTAATGCATTTTTAACGATCACCCTGGCGTGTTTGTGTTTGCAACGTAATTCATGTGTATTTCAAATTTTACCACATGTAAAACGTAGTCTTAACTTAAAAATTACTACTCTTCAATTCAGAGCACATCATAGTTTTATAGTTTTTTTGTGGGTATGTCTGTGAAAATGGTTGAATTTTTTTTTCTTTTTGCTTTTCATTATCTTCAGTTTTAGAGAAAATGAGCGAAGAGCGGGTAAGAGCCAGAGCGAGTGAGAATGAGAAAATAATTTTAAAAGAAGAACTATATTTTATTATTATTTTGTGCGTTCTTTTTCCCGTTTTGCTTTTAATTGCCAACCGCATAAACATTACAATTTCATGTTGCTGCCGATAGACGTAGAGAGAGAGACATAATTCACTTTTGAAAGAATCTCACAATCATAATTCACCTGTACAAAGAGTGTCACTGAAAATGAAACAAAATTGCATTGAATGCATGCAGAATGTGCACATAAAATTGTTCACAAATAAAGATAAAAATATATATAAAAGAGAAAACGACCTAACAAAAGATCGATATATATACATTCGGAATTTGTGAAAACCAATTAAGCTGCGAATTTTGTTTCGCGCATTCATGATCTCTCTTCAATTGTGACACGAAACCCATAAAAATAAATTGAATTTACTGCATTCGATGAAAATGTTACGTGATTTGACGACCACGACAACGGCAAAAACGACGCACTCGAAATAAAAGATGGTATAACACATCAATGGATTCTGTCAACTTTGAGATTGAGGAAAATTATAAAATGCAGTATGATCGTCCCCTTTGTACGCTACACACACATGTATGCGTGCGAATGGGTTTAATGGCAAATTCAAACGGCATATGTGACGTCGAATGCACGGTTACAATTTGCACGTTTTTGGCTGTATTTTGCATTTGGTTTGCGCGAACGCAATTCTACATGTTGCCCCTCAATGAAATTGGTATTACAATTGAGCTCTTCTCTCTCCCTCTCTTTTCTCATACATACGCTCTAATCGTGTATCGTCAATTGATTCTTTGAACAATTTATCCATTCGACGAAACAAAAGATTTGCACGAAACCCATAAAACATCATAAAAAAACTACAAAGTTGATCGCACAGCTGTGAGTGCGATACACATCGAAGAGAGAAAAAAAGCAAACGACAGAACGGGCGCGCAAAAATTAACATAACGACAACAGAACAGAGTCAACCGAATGAGAAAAGAAGAAAACATAAGAAACGACACACAGACAAAACGACAAAAAGACATTTTAAAAGATAGTAAAATGCACTGAATTGCGCACGCGCATTCTCAATCAAATGGGATGAAAAACCGACAAACCACGTATCGTATGCCCCGTTTGTCTAATCGACGGTGTGAGCGCACGCGCGCGCGCGAATCAACAGTGAGAGCGCGCGATTGTGCGCATATACACACGTTGTCACGTTCGTGTTTTTCATTCGAAACATACACGTTCGATTAAATAATTTTGATATCATCAATTATTACATTTTGAATTTTCGCTGTTGTTGTTACTGTTTTTTTTTCGTTCTTTAGATATTTGGTGCGCGCGTCTATTGTGATCATGTTCTTGTCTCTCGGTACAATAAACATTCGATAGCTCTAAGGTTTCGGTATGTGCTTCTGCTCCTTTTCATATATTCTCTTTCACCAAAATCGATATGTTCTCGCAAGTATGTGTGTGAGAGCGAAATCGCCGTACACTGTGTTCGGTGCGACGTTACTTTTTTTTTATATATATTCTAAAAGTCATGCTCGCCATCTAAATTATGATCGCATAAAATCTGTAATGACACAATTCTTTGGTGTGTTGTTTGTTCTCTCTCTTCTTTCTTCATTCGGTTGTGTTTTTTTTTTCTCGCGTTTTTCGTTTTCTCTCTTTTTAATAGTTCAGAGTTTCTTTCTACATTGTGTCGCTGTTCGATCGTTTTGTTCGTTGTTTGCCATTAGAAGTGCTTATTGTTGAGTGTATATGCAGATATCGCTACAGCGAATGCAATTAGAATTGATGCAAATGTGTTTTTGAAAATCGTTTTTTATTTAATCAAATCGAAATATCATCGATCCTGTTTTGAAAAAATGCAAATAGCTCAGACAAAAGGCACATAAACATTTAATTAATTCACATCAGCCGATGATAGATAAGTATCTGTCAGTCGGCGAACAGTTCTATCGTGGACGCGTTCACGTTCGCACATCGTAATATGAATCATTCGCCCAAAAAGAGTCAATTGAGTGTGACCTTGACAAATTATTTTTATACATACATATATCGGTATGGCCAATGTGGCAAATGTCAAAAAATCGAATTGTTTTTCAGAAACGACACAAAAAAAGAACAGAACGGGAAAAAAGCGATAAAGAAAGAAAGACGGACTGGGAGATAGAAATAGAGAGGGAGAGAGAGATAGAGAACGAAAAAAAAAAATGATTGGCGGCAAATCGCCAAAATACTAATGGCATACCGGTACGAACGAGATGCACAAGCAGACCAAGCAAGGGAAAATGTTAATCACTCGAAATGATCCTTCGAATTGTTCACGCCAAACCTATATACTAATCAGTGTGCCAAGAAAGTAATTTTGCTATTGTAAAATGAATATGCCATAATCTCAGGTACCATCATCACCACACTCGAAAAAAAAGAGAGAAGAGATACATACGCACATATTGCGAATGATCATTTCTTGCATGATTTTTGCTTGTGCAATGCGCGAATGCATTCTCATTGTCTGAATTCAGTTGATCTTTTCCAAAGAGTCGGTGCTTTAACGGCCGTAATAAAAACATGTTACGGATCATAAACAACGAGAATAAAAAAAAGAAAATACACGAACAGATTGAATACGTTCAATAGTTTCATTCTTCACCCAGTAACAATTGCTGCAAAAGGTTGCAACCAGCCGAATACAAAAAGCAACCAAACGTAACCATGATCGTTCGTGTAATGTGTGTGTGTGTGTTTTTTTTTCCGTTTCGTCGACACAAAAGGATGATGGAAGAAAATGTTGCGAGCTTGGATACAAGAAAAATCACAAAAATCTATTAATTTGCGGCCGCGAGTGTGAGAGACAACGGAAATGTTGCTAATATAACATAAACGTTTATTCGCAGATAATAAAAATGGCAAAAAAATGAAGGAATCCATCAATTTGCATGAAGTCGAACAGGAGAAGAAGAGAGAAAAAAAAGAGTTGAAGAGCATAAGCACGGTCACACAGTGCCGTATACGAATAAAAAAAACTGCATTTAAAAATAAAAACATATATCTGTTGTGCAAGAGAGTGTGCCGGTATTATCTTTCAAAAATTTGATGCCACACACTTTTTTACATGTTCATACATCTGAAGTGATATGCACTAGATTCAGAAAAGAATTATTAATTTGCAGATGAAAGATGAAAACATGCAACAGATAATCCATGTCTTTTTATATAGCCATTAGGCGATTCTAAATGTTTGACATGGTACGGATGATGGTGCTGTGCAACAATGTATAATCAGTTCGATCGAACAACAAAATAAAAGAGCAACAAACTATATATATATATATATATATATATATATGAAGAAATGTCGGTGCTCAAATTTCAGTTAACTCAATGCAAATATGATATAGGCATGGTAATTTGCTAGCCCTTTCGATTAACTTGCACTAAAACCCAACAGTTTATATTATATGTAGTATTTTATGATATTTTTTTTTTATTTTTTTCGAGTTTCGGCCTCTTGTACTGGATTTCATTTTGAGTGTTGTGCGTGTGTGTACACTATTCTTTCGTGTATACCTTCCCGTTTCTCGCTGATATTCTCGGGCAATTGTTCACATTATTTTTCACTTTTCGCCGCCGTCAATATGTGTTCCGATGAGAACAGAATTAGTGGTTTTTTTTTACTTTTTCCACTGTGGTGGCGGCCGGCCGGACACTGTGTTGCATTTCTCAATCTTTTATTATTCTTTGCTGTCGATACTTTGTATTTCCTGGGTGCATGCCGTATGTCGAATATCAGAGTTTTTCTCTTGATGAGACAGTCGATATGACCGAATGGTAAAATCTGATGCGATAATCAATTGCCACCGTTCGATTGGTTGTTAGTTCGGTGTGAGCTTGTGTGCAATATGTTTTTATGCATGTAGCCCTCATTGCAGTTGAAAGATAAAAAAACCAAACCTAACGAAAGAAAAAAAAAGATTTTTTTTTTGGTTTTACACAAGTGTTGGCGGTTGACGCGCGCTAAAAATTTGCTGTTGAAAAACTTGCATATGCATATTCCATGTGCAAAGTAAAACTATATATATATAAATGTATGTATATATAAAATGATATTCCGAAAGAGTGAAAAAAAGAGTCGAGAATTTGCTTATAGCTAAATACATGAACGTACGTCTGTTGTGTGACAGACAGAAGTGGCAGCAAAGAACAGCAAACACACACTCAACACACAGTGCGGTCGAAAAAGCAGTAGCCGATTGTGATGTAGTTAAATTTTATCGGCAGAACGGTAAGCATCGCGCCTTCAATTCTCTCACACTACTGTCGAACACAGCATCGAGACGAACGACCAAATCTAATCGAACCACAACACCAACGACAATCATAACGAATTTTTTTGTTTGTTTTCATTTTGGTTTTTGTATCTTTGAACTAGAACATTAGACGAAATAGAAAAAAATGCAAAAAGTTTGCAATATACGAGTTCAATGAGTGTGTTTTTTTCTCTTCAAATTAAAACGACGAATTTCGCCAAATAGCCGAAGGCTAGAGAAAAAAAACACCACGTCGAAAAGAAGAGAAACAGAAGAACATACACATATGCATACATATAGCAGCCCGATACACATCGACAACGCACACAGCACACGACGAGAGAGAGAGAGACTTCACTTGTAATCAACAGGGCAAATAAAAACAAAAGCAATCACACCGAACTCAAATTGGGCATACGTGTTCTGTATGCGTTTGTGTCGATATTGAATCGGGTGCATAGATTTATGCTACTGTCAGTCGTGACTTTCATTCACTTATTCTCTCTATCGCTCTTGCACTCACACACACATTTTGGAGAAAAGTGAAATCAAAGTGAACAAAAAAAGACATTTTTTTTCTTTTTGAAACCGTAAAGCGCAACCAACTGTTCTATTCGTATTGTTTTATTTTTCGGTTCGGTGAGTACAGTTGAAAGAAGCTCGTTCGCATCATCGCATGTATAAAAGTGTTGAAAAGTTATATATTTTTTTTGGCATCGTGATTAGATGACTGCATTCAACGTCACCGTCATAAAGACACAACCAAGAAAATGCCACTATCCGGAAATCTTTTAATTGGTTTATCACCGACATGTGTTGTGGCATTCTTGTGTTTTTCATTGATCACCATCACAAATGTGTCGTTGGTTGATGGTAAAATTTGCCAGGACATTGATATTCGCAACAATCCAAGAGATCTGAATAAACTAAGAGATTGCACCACGATTATGGGCAGCCTATCGATTGTGTTGATAGAAAAACTCAGTTATGGTGATTTATCAAATTATACATACCCTGAATTACGGTAAGTGACTGTGCGCGTTTGATGCGGTTACAGAAAACCGTATTAAAATTCGAATTTTTCCACAGAGAAATCACTGGATACTTGCTGTTTTTTCGTGTATTTGGAATCAAATCGTTTCGCAATATATTTCCAAATTTGATGGTAATCCGTGGTGAGCGACTAATCACTCATTATGCATTGATAATATACGATATGCCTGGTTTGTCTGAGGTAATTAAAAAAAAAACGTCGTAAATGACTATGTTTTGCCGACTAATTGGTTTCTCTTCTAACACAGATCGGTCTTACTTCATTGATAAAAATTCAGCGTGGCTATGTCATGATTAGATACTGTCCAATGCTTTGTTACATTCACACTGTGAGTTATGACATGTTTTTTTCTCAGTTGTTTTTTTTTTTCGTTATCGCCAATTTCCGTTGACTTTTCCAAGAATTTCCGTTGACTTTTGTTTTGTTTTCAATCTTTCTCTCTCTATCGTTCGCGATAGATAAATTGGGAGGCAATCACACAAGTTCGTGTTGGCAGTGGTTTGGGTAATTATTTAGATTATGATTCATTCAGTGCGTGCCCGTCAAAGTGTCCAGAAATATGCGCCACAAATAATTGTTGGAACAACAAAAATTGTCAAATCTTCGAAACAGACAAAAGCACCATTCAACGTGAGTATTGTTTTCTTTTGTCTCGGGTATGATGTGAGAATCTCTTGTTGAAATAATAGTTCCTTTTTACATCATGCGGCTATATTTGTTCGATTTGTGTGCTTGGATTTAACCGAAGGTGAAAAAAAAAAAAAACAAATGTTTGTAAGCTCCGAGTGCAAATCTCTTGTTTAATTAATCATGATTGTGATTGAGTTTTATAAAACTTAACGATTTGTTGTTGCCGGCCGAAACATACACAAAAAAAAATCTCATTTGACTGCGTCATCATCGCGCGACTGAGTTGTCGGCAAAAATAATCAGCTGACTCGAACCGACACAAGACACACTAGATTTGCACACCGAGACGCACAACAACAAAAAAAAAAATCGTCGAGTTTGACATGTGCATGAGGTGATTGTACAGTGATCGTGCATATACATCAAAATCCAAAACGTCATAATACTCTTACATGCCTCATTATCGCTCATTAAATCTAATTATTTATTATTTATTTAGTGCGGTTTGTTTTTTTCGGTTAAATATGCCAATTCTATGCTTTATTTCATTGGTTCGCCCCCCTCTCGGTGTCTCTTAATTTCTGTCGCTTCTTCCCTCACCCTTTCTTGCAATACTCGCTTCGTGTGTGTGCGCATTTTTTTTGTGTTTAATTTGATTCTGTGAAATGATCTAATTTAAAATATTTATGAGCGATTGCTCCTACTACTGTTCCGTAATAATAATCAGTTCTTTATAGCAAATTGCCATTGCATACATTTCATTCCATCCAATCTATATATCGACTAAAAAAACTCATATATCATTCGTGTTGATTCGCATTCAGAATAGAATCGAAATGAACGGACGGCGCGAGATTGAAAGAAAGACGGTGAATATGTGAAGAAATACGACACGAAGAGATCGTTATATTTGGAATCAATTTAGAAAAGATATTTATTATTATTTTTTTGTTGTTTTGCTCTTCGTATATTTTCGCTCGTTCACTTTGCCGCAACGCATTCAATCGAATTCAATTAATTTGATCGTACTCTCCAACGTACAATTACATAAAACAAATAATAATCGTTTATTCGATTGAATATATGAAAAGTAAATAACATTTTAATGAAATCGACGATGTACGAAGCAATCTATTGATATCATGTGCCTCTATGTGTCGACAAATTTCGCTGGAAATTCGCGGATTTTAAAACGTCGACACACACGCACACTTGAATAGAGTAAATAAATCGAGTCATTTTAAAAAGGCGTAATAATGCATTTCATATATATGATACAATTTACCTTTTTCTCTTCTCATTTTATCTCATTCTTTAACGATGATCAAGTGAATTTGTTTTTAAAATGATGATCTTTTTTGTCACATCATTTAAATAAGATTCATTTCGAATTCGGTCGATGAATGTCCAATGTGAAGAGTTCAACAATGTGAAATGTGAATTGATAATTGATAAAAAAAAATAAATCAGCATATAATAAAATCAAATAAAGTCAAAGAAGTTTATTGTTTTGATAATTGACATGATTCGATTTAAGCAATACAAATTGTTAGTTTCATTTCTTTATTTGTTGCTGGTTGTTGTTGTTTTTTCTCTGTTCGTATTCGTTTATTTGATTTGATGAATCGCTTGCGCATTTCTCAACGAATTCAATCAAAGCGAAATTTATTGGGTATGATTGTGTGGTGGCTGTGGGTTGCCGCCACTTTGGCATGTTCATGCCATTTTATTTCTCTATTTGTTTGCCTGACTTTTGCCATACATATAATTTTACATAAATAAAATCGGTTCTTTTTTTTCCACACATAAATTTTGTATAATTGGCTTTTATAAATCGAATCGTCATGAATGTAGCACTTTGCCAATATTTATTTTGCCAATGCAATGCCAATATTTGAATTTATATTTCGATTCATATCATTCTTTTGTGGTCCGTTCTATTTCCCGCGGCCACCGTCGTCATCATCGCGTTCGGTGCCGGTGTATTTTGTGCGCAGCAGCACCAACAACGTTCTACTGCAATAAAAATTCTTCTTTTTCTTCGTCGATCCCAATGTAAAAGTGGCAATCGAAAAGGTATGCAACCGCGACCAAGATACAGATGAAGAGCGAGAGAGAGGGAGGGGGATTTCGGGCATACGAGCAAGCCATACCAAAGTTCTTTCAATTCTTTCAATTCTGTGTGTGGTCATTGAAAAAAGAAATGGAAACGTGAATGCAAATTTGCTAGCTGTAATGAAATAGACACGAATGATCAGCAAATGCCAGTTCTTATTTCTTTTTCTAAATGATTTTCTCTCTTATTTCTTCCTGTATAAATCGATTTGCAAAAATATTACATGTTCAAGTGATATTTCAAATGGAGTCTGCATTTTGATCAGATATGTACAAGTGAAATTTTCTGTTTCATATTATGAGATTTTCAGCTGACACTCTCGCTTAACCCTTACCGGGCAGGTCAAAATACTAACGTTATCGGACAAGTGGACCTCTGAGGCCCGAAGTACATTTTCCATGAAAATTTAATGAAAAAAAATATTCTTGTATTCCCACAAAAATGTGGCTGTCAAAAATGTAGCTTTTGGTTGTCAAAAATGGAAAAATTTGGCTGTCAAAAATGGGGAAATTGGCTGACAAAAATGGGGAAATTGCCCCCCAAAAATGGGGAATTGGCTGTCAAAAATGCGTCGATAAAAAAAAAAACGAAAAAAATGTGTAAAAATTTCTTGAAAGTAATAAAAAGTAATATTATTCGATGCAATTTGATACTTTAATTACATTATCTTTCCTTTGTCTTTTCTTCATTTCGTTGTTTCATTTTGTTCCCCCGCTAGGGCTATCAATGAAATTCAATTATTCTTTGTTCCATCTGCTCGACAGCCAATTTCCCATTTTTTACAGCCAATTCCCCATTTTAACAGCCAATTCTTCATTTTAACAGCCAATTCCCCATTTTTGACAGCCAGTTCCCCATATTTGACATCAAACCCCATTTTTGGGGGGCAATTTCCCCATTTTTGACAGCCACATTTTCTCACTTTTGACAGCCAAAAGCTACATTTTTGGCAGCCAATTACCCATTTTTTACAACCAAATGCCTTATTTTTGACAACCAAACGCACCATTTTTGACAGCCAATTCCCTATTTTTGGGGGTCATTTCCCCATTTTTGTCAGCCAATTTCCCATTTTTGACACACGTTTACCCTTTGCGTTTTCGAATGATCGGCAAAAAACGTTCTCCAAGTAACGTTTTTCGTGTGAAATATTGAAGACACTGTCTGCTGTGATGCTGAGGGTCGCAGCTAACGTACTGTTGGGCATTTGAAATATTTCCTGAACTACACTTGGATTTTGGCCATCACATCTTGAACTGTTTTCACTAATATCACAAAAGTGTGAGAGTCATCTTTCATTAAGTCTCTGCACAACTATTAAGGGTTTTCTTATTGTTTGACTAAGGTATACGAGGGTCACCATAAACTACACGCAAGAAGTGATTGAAATCGTTTGATGCTATATCATCTTTTGTTAGATACCTAATCTCAACATGATTTTGGAATTTTTCAGTTTTTCAAAAATATCAAAATGATTAAATGCCTAATGCCGAAGTAAACATATGAAGAGAGATATGAACTCAATTTTTTGTGGGAATACTGTTGACAGTCCATACTTCAATTACAGCACAAGAATGATTTGAAAACATTTCTTAGGCTTAAAAAATTTTCCTCCCCCTATATTGTTTTAACATAATAGATATTGAATTAAATATGTTTTTTGTAAAATATAACTGAAAAATGAAAAAATAATCAATATTTATTCCGAATCGGATGAATTTAAGTTTCAGTTCAGTATAGTTGTTTAGTACAAATTTTGCACTCCATTTAAAAATTTTGATGACATTTTGTATGGAAATTGTACGTCCGGTAGTTGTTTAAACCTCAATACAGCGCTACTTAGGGAACGAAATTCAAAACAACTTTTATCAACGATTAGTAGAAGGATGAAAGAATATATTACAGAACAATTTGTTTGATTAAAATAATATTTTATGCGATTTTAAGTATGTATCTTTTTTTTAAATGCGCTACCGAGCCTCAGAGACCCGATATGCCCGGTTAAGGGTTTATTACAGTAGTGTGCGAGGAACATTTTTCAGGGGGGGGGGTGATTTTCCAAAAACAAAAAATTCTCTAGCAAATTAGACAAATTTTCGTTTTTTTTTTTTTTTGGAAGTCACTTTT